TCCATTTGCCTGGAAAAATTTTTCCCATCCCTTCACTTTCTGTCTGTATGAGTCCTTTGTTCTTATGTGTGTCTCTTGTAGACAGCATATATATGGGTCATATTTTCTTATCCATTCAGCCACCACATGTCTTTTGATTGAAGTATTTAATGCATTTACATTTAAGGTTATTATTGGTAGGTACTTTTCTGTTGCCATTTTTATCCTTTATGTCTCTGTTTCTCCTTCTCTTTCTATTCATATTTTTTTACACTAGTACCTGTAGTATTTCCTGCATTGCTGGTTTGGTGGTAATAAACTCCCTTAGCCTGTTTTTCTCTGTGAAGCTCCTGATTTCACCTTCAATTTTGAATGATAGCTTTCCTGGATAGAGTATTCTTGGATTCAGTCCCTCGCTTTTCATTACTTTGCATATTTCATTCCATTCTCTTCAGGCCTGATGTGTTTTTGTTGAGAAATCATTTGATAGTCTAATGGGAGATTCTTTATAGGTAACATTCTGTCTCTCTCTTGCAGTTCTTAATTTTCTTTCTTTGTCATTAACATTTACTGTTGTAAATACGATGTGCCTTTGTGTGGGTCTTTTTGGGTTCATATTTGTTTGGGACTCTCTGTACTTGTGTGACTCCCCTGCCCCATCGCCAACCCCCATGCCAGGGGAGTTTTCTGTCATTATTTCTTCAAATAGTTTTTCTATTCCTTGCTCAGCTTCTACTCCTTTTGGAACCCCTATTATGCTGATGTTGCTTCATTTCATATTGTCCCAAAGCTCCCTTAAACTCTCCTGCTTCTTTTTAATTGTTTTTTCCAATTGCTGTTCAGATTGGGGGTTTTTTCTACCCTGTCTTCTAACTTTCTGATTCAGTCCTCAGCTTCTTCTAGTCTACTATTGAAACCTTCCACTCTGTTCTTTATTGCAGCTATGTCATTCTTCATTTCCTCTCGATTCTTTTTTTTAATTAAATGTTTATTGTTCAGATTATTACATATGTTCCTCTTTTTTCCCCCCATGACTCCCCTCCACCCAGTTCCCACACCACCCTCCTCCCTCACTCCCCACCCACTGTCCTCATCCATGGGTGCACGATTTTTGTCCAGTCTCTTCCCGCATCTCCCACACCCCTTTCACTCCCAAGAATAGTCAGTCCATTCCCTTTCTATGTTCCTGATTCTATTATAATCACCAGTTCATTCTGTTCATCAGATTATTTATTCACTTGATTCTTAGATTCACTTGTTGATAGATGCGTATTTTTTGTTCATAATTTGTATCTTTACCTTTTTCTTCTTCTTCCTCTTCTTAAAGGATAACTTTCAGCATTTCATATAATACTGGTTTGGTGTGATGAACTCCTCTGGCTTTTTCTTATCTGTGAAGCTCTTTATCTGACCTTCAATTCTGAATGATAGCTTTGCTGAGTAAAGTAATCTCAGTTGTAGGTTCTTGGTATTCATCACTTTGAATATTTCTTGCCACTCCCTTCTGGCCTGCAAAGTTTCTGTTAAGAAATCAGCTGACAGTCGTATGGATACTCCCTTGTAGGTAACTGACTTTTTTTCTCTTGCTGCTTTTAAGATTCTCTCTTTGTCTTTTGCCCTTGGCATTTTAATTATGATGTGTCTTGGTGTGGTCCTCTTTGGATTCCTTTTGTTTGGGGTTCTTTGCGCTTCCTGGACTTGTAAGTCTATTTCTTTCACCAGGTAGGGGAAGTTTTCTGTCATTATTTCTTCAAATAGGTTTTCAATATCTTGCTCTATCTCATCTTCTGGCACCCCTATAATTCGGATGTTGGTATGCTTGAAGCTTTCCCAGAGGCTCCTTACACTATCCTTGTATTTTTGGATTCTTTTTTCATTTTGCTTTTCTGGTTGGGTGTTTTTTGCTTCTTCGCATTTCAAATCTTTGACTTGATTCTTGCGCTTCTCTGGTCTGCTGTTGGGAGTCTGTATAATATTCTTTATTTCAGTCAGTGTATGCTTAATTTCTAGTTGGTTCTTTATCACAACATTGAGGGTCTCATTAGATTTCTTGAGGATCTCACTACATTTATCGGCGGTCTCACCAGTCTTCTTGAGGGCCTTACTAAATTTATCAGCAGCTTCTAGACAGTTCTTGAGAGACCTAAAAGTGTGGTTTTGAACTCTATATCCTCCATTTCTGTCATTTGTGTCCTGTTTCTTTGTCTCCGCATTTTTTATGCTTTCTTGGTGCACCCCCTTGTGGTCTTTGTGTGCAGTCTTGTTGTAGTTAAGCCTTGATTGTTGTAGGTAATACTGGGGGTATTTGACCTCCAGACCAACTGGCTTTGAGAATCAGCTGTGTCTGTAGTGGGAGAACTTCTGTCCTCTAGGGAGGTGCTAATCTAGCCTTTGCCTGAGGCTATCCCGCAAATGCCTCTGTGCAGGGCTTGGGCAGGGCGGGTCCCAGGGGATCAACAGGGCGGGAGGAGCGAGCAGTTATGGCTGCTCTCAGTCCCGTCCCCAGAGGCCCTGCCTCTCAGTGTCCCAGCAACTGCTGCAAACCTCGGAGAGAAAGCTGCCCTCGAGTTCCAACCGATGCCAGACAGTCCCGCTTCTCCCATTTGAGTCTGGGTCCCCAGAGACTTGCCCGGATCTGGAGCTCAGAGCCTGAGACTCCCTCCCAATTGAAACAGACAACCATGCCCTTAGCCGCCAGCCCACTCCACACCTTAGTATTTGACTTCAGCACTGCGCCTCCTCTGAGTCTCAGTATGCTATTCTCTTTCCTCCTAGTTGTAGAACTTCCACTCAGCCAGCCTTCCTGTGGTTCTGGGTGATGTCTGTTCCATCTTTTAGTTGTATTTTTGAAGTGGTTGTTCGAGGCAGCAAACTCCAGCATTAACCTATGCCACCATCTTGGTTTCTCCTTGTAGTTGAGCTTTTAATGCTTTTAACCCTTTTGTGGGTGGGGTTAACCCCTCAGACAGGCTGACTATAAGGATAAACCTCAATCCCTGTGTACAAGTTACTGCCCTTCAAGGCTGTGTTGCTCCCAGCAGGGTCTGGCACCTGCCTCAATCTTCCTTTGGTTTTGCAACTTGTATGGTAAATTGGGTTGAACTTGATGTGGTCTGAAGCCCACCACTAGTTTTGTTGGTTTGGGGTCCATTTGGGTGGAGTTCAGGTATAGGTTTATGTCAGATGTTGTGGGTACCTGGCCTTGGGCTACCTGTCTGGAGATACCACACTGTTCACTGTGGCTCCATCTACTGGGCCTTTGTGTACAAGGGTTGACTTCCTTCAGCTTAGAGTTGGAGGCAGATCTATAAAAGATCTGATGCTGAGGTTCACCTGTCAGCTACTCCCCCTCACCCAGAGGTTGCCTGGTCTTTCTCCAGAGCCTTTTGAATTAAGACTGTAGGATGACCCCAGGGTAGCTGTGAGCCACAGACTCTTCACAGGTTGTGAACTCAGTAAGACAGAGCAACTGTGTACAGGAGATGGGGGCCCTTATTGGAGGTTATATGGTCAGGCATCAATGAGAGGAATGTGGACCTTATTCCAGACACTAACCACTCAGCTTCTGCCAGTCTCCAACTTCAGCTTTCCCAGAAGGGACTTCTTGCAGGTTCAGGTTGGATGCAACCTGCTGTCCCCTCTGCAGGAGCAAACTCACTGGGTGGAGGCACCTGGCTCAGGAGTACAAATAAAGAGTCTCTTGTTGGGGGTGATGCCAACCCATCCTAAAGGAGGGGGCCTAGCACCTTCCTCCTGGTTCCAGTCAGTAGCTTCTGAGGGACACACACTATGAATGTCCTAGCTCCCAGAAGCTCTCCCTTCTCCCAAAACCCCTAGAAATGAGCTCAGCAGGGCAGGGAATCAGGGAGTTGGAGGAGCATATTCCCATTGAGGGTGGTGCCTGCAAGCCTGTTGGAGGGGGGACAGGCTCTTTTTCCCCTTTCCAGGATAGTACAGGCTGAGATGGCAGGGGGTAGAGGAGTGGCTCCTCCATCATGTAGTCACACAACCCAGCACCTGCCCATTTGATTCCTGGACAAAAGCCCTTCCAGGAGACATGCTTTGAGAGGCCCAGCTCTTCACAGCCCTCTGATTCCCTGTGCAACTGAACTCAGAAAGACAGGGTCAGCCATGTGATTCGACATGTTGCAGGGTGGGCAGTGCCAGCTGTGTGCTAGAGGTGGGGGAGACTGGTCCCCTTTCCAAAGTCACACAGTTCAGTCATTTTCTGAGTCTCCATCAAGAGCCTCCCCAGAAAAAGAGCACCCCAAAGTTCACTGCTGGATGCATTCTGTAGACCCCTCCACAGGACCTGGGCATGACAGAGTGTCCTCACCAGCCATTGGAGGACCAGACAATGCACTCCCTAAGCTGGTGCTATAATAGGAGTTCTTATGCCTGAAAGATGGCGTCTGGATTTTCAGCAGACTCCTTCTCTCCCAGGTGAATTGAATACCCACTGATTTTTCACTACTAGATGGGTCCTATTCCCCTCTCTGTTGCTTTGGGTTGAGCATCCTGGCATGAGGTTGAGATCCCGTGCTCCTTGGGGGCAAGCGAGTTTTGCAGCATAGATATCTTACTGGCTTCTCAGCCACTGCATATAGGTGAGAGGGCCAACCCTTTCTGTGTCTGTACCCTTCTTACCAATCTCTATGTGGCTTCTTCTGTAAATCCTTGGTTATACTACTTTAGTTCAGCTAGTCTTCAGTTGATTATTCAAGTTTGATTGCTCTATAATTTATAAATCTGGGGCTGGTGTCAAGTGAGTATAGCTGCCACCTACTCTGCAGCCATCTTGGAATCCTACTGGTTTTTTCCAAGTTGTAGAGTATAATGTGAGATTGTAGAGAGTAACAATGGGGTAGAATTATTGAGAATCAAGACAAAAAATTTAACTAACCATTATGAGAAGTTGGAAGAAGAACAGGAAAAAAAATGCTTGGTCTTTCTTCTCCAATATAAGAAGTAGGTGATTTATTACATGTTGACTCACTGACCAATTTCTTTCTTTTTTCTAGGTCATGTAACAAATTACATATTGAGAATTAAAAAGTTTAATGACTTCTCCATTATTGCCTTTTCCATTGACGTTGGGAAAAACAAAACAATGTTGACTATTTTGTTCAATAATGAGGCATATCATTCAGCTACAACATCTCTGGCAGTGTTAGACAACATCCTCTTCATGTCACTCTCTGGCCCCAGTGCTTCCATTAAAGTCTCCAACAATCCTCAGCCTCTCCCTCTTTATGTTTCTCATGCAGTGTGCGTACCATTTTCCTTTTATTGGAATTGAGTCTTCATATATCCCCTTGTAATTTGGCCATTACAAGAAAATAGCTACTGAAATCATCATTTTCTACTTTTATTTCATCATTTATTTGAATTTTTATTTCATCCTTTGTAGGCCTAAAGAAGGAAGACATGTAGTATTACATTTGGCATTTGGCATGGCTGTTGTAGTCGCTAGCTTTGGCCTCCAGACAGTGACTGAGAGAATCACTAAGGCAAAGCACATCCAGTTTGTGAGTGGGGTCTATGTCCTCACCTACTGGCTTTCTGCTCTCCTGTGGGATCTCATCTACTACTTCATTTCCTGCTGCCTACTGCTGGTGAGTGTTACCCGAAGTTACATGAAGGCTAATTTTTCTATATCACCCACCAGAAATTCCTAATCAAGTAATTGTATCCTAAAATAAAACTTGTAAAGAAGTTTACAAGTTAATTATGTCAGAGAATATATTGTGGAAATGTTCTCCCTCATATTCTTTCAGCTGGAGAAAATATTTTTCTTTGAAAAATCTCTCAAATTGGTTTCTTATGTAATTCTCAGCATGATGCCCTGACCAAAAACTCTAGGATGGACTATTATTTGTCACTCGTCTCTCACTACCCATATTACTTCCCAATGCTGTGTCCTTTGGTAAAACTGGACTATAGAAAACAAGGTAGAATCAAGACCTAAGTAAAGCTTCCTGCTACCATTCACCCCCACGCCCCACCCCACCCCACCCCCTCCACACACACACACACTTTCATACCTCAAACTCAAGATGGCTAGGTCTGCAAAGCAAAACTTGTTTTGACTCAGACAACTGATTTTAGACATTGAGAAAGTGGCTTAAAGAATGTACATGTAAGGATAGTACAGCAGCTTTTAATGTAAAGACTTTGCTCATTAAGGAAGTTGGCAACTTCTTTTGTATGCATATTGAAGTTGAGGAAGATATGAAGCTATGCAGTTACAAGGGGTAAACACAGGAGTAAAAGAGGTAAAGCTCCTTTCTTTGCAAGAGTTACTGGGGAATTAAGTCGAATAGGATAACATCTCAGCCCTCAAATAGTTCACTGTTTAGCAATGGATACAGCAGTGAAATAGATCATTATAAAATAGCATGCTAATTGCCACTATAATGGATAAACCACCATAGAATGGTAAAATTAGTTGTTGGAGGAAAAAAGAGAAACTTTCCATCTATTTGGCTCCAACAACTTGTGAATATTGCACAGGGCCTAATATTGGTTCTGAAGGAGAACCAGGATCTCACCAGCTAGAACAGCTTCTCAGCACGGGCCAGGGGCTAGGCTGGTTGGGGCAGGGATGGTGAGGTAGTGTAGTGAGCAAGTAGTATGTACAGAAGAGTCCCAAGATGCAGAGAGCAGTGTGGGGCTTCCATCGTCTCACAACAGTGCACGACTCCAGTGGTGTTCTCCTGCCAGTCTCTTCTGCTCACAGCTCACCAACCAGCCAGCGTAACAAGAGAAAATCACCATCCTCTGTAATGGATGCTCCTCTCATTCTTCACCACAGGAACTTGGGTACCTACTCCAGACAGAGTCTCTGGCTTTACTAGCTCCCCTGTGTAACTCAGTGCGCATTGAATCAATCAGAAAACCCCTGAATAATTTCATCTCCATGTCGAGAATCCATTCTTTCCCTGATTCTTGAAGCTTGGCTGACACACCCAGCTATCCTTTCCTAGTTAATAGGTCTATATAGAAGACTATCCATTATTAATACTTCTGCAAATATTGGCATTTATGGCTCATGAGAAAAGTTACTTGTCATATGTTTTTTATGTGTTACATCATTCAATAGTACAATGATGTTAATTCATTATATTTATAGACAAGGAAACTGAGGCTCACATAAATAAGTTACCTGCCTAACTTCACTCAGATAGTACAGTTTCAAACCCGGGTTGTGGTTATTCCAAAGCTCATTGTCTTTTATACATTCAAAGTCTTCCTGGATAATATACTACTAATGTATGTTAAAGTCATGTCTACATCTTACTCCAGCTCCTCTATTTTGTTTGTTCTCTCTGTCCTTCTATCTCTTCCTCTCTTCTCTTCTCTTCTCTTCTCTTCTCTTCTCTTCTCTTCTCTTCTCTTCTCTTCTCTTCTCTCTCTTTTTTTTCTCTCTCTCTCTCTCTCTCTCTCTCTCTCTCTCTCTCTCTCTCTCTCTCCCCAAAATTTCCCTTAATGATTCTCAGACTGTGTGGTCTATATGGCTTCTTAGCTTTGCTTGCTTATCTGACTTGAATGTCCCTGGTTTTCAGTGGAATACTCTTCCACCCTGCTCTGATTCTATGAAATGCCACCAACTGGACTCATTCTTGGACTCAACAAGAGGAGGCAAGATTCTATCATTTTGCCTAGCAGCTAGGATTTCTATTTCACCCCTTCTCTGCTGGTCAGATTCACAAAGCAGGGGACTTTACTGCTCAAATGTCAGAGACAAGGATTAAGCTATGTTGCTGACTCCAAACCCTGATGCATTATCTTCCCCCAACACTGTTTTCCCAGCCACCCCAGGAGATTGTTGGTGAGGTTTAGTGAAGTCCTCTGCCTTTTCCCATGACTGAGCCCATGCAGGAAGGCTCAGGAAAGAAGAACAGGTAACTTTTCTCGTGTATTATGTGACCAGGGACGCTGTGCGGTGAGGCTTCCCTCTCATGCGGTCTGTGTGCCTGTCTTGATGACTGTTAGATATACTATATCCCCACCTTTCTGCACACATAGAATTATTTATTCAGCAAACATTGAACTCCTGCTTGTAAGCTAGTCTATGCTTTAGGCATGGATACAGCATGGGGGAGGTAGACAAGGGCTCATCTCATACTGGTCTCACCAAGGACTTGGATAGCTAGCTCAATGTCTCTTTGGAAATATGTCTCTCATAAGCCTTCAGATGCACTATTTTCATCATTTTACAGTTCTGGAAATTTGTCCAGGAGTTACCCTTTTCTCTCAATCAGGCCATTATGCATTGGACACAGATTACTTTGCTAGTATTATTTTTTGCTATTTCATTCTCATTCATTAATTTATTTTTAAGTAAAGAGCCAAGTTAGTATTCACTTTTTTCCCTAAGTAGCTAACCCATTGTTCTACCATCTTTTTTTGACAGCCAACTCCCACTGATTTGAAATGTATATCAACTAATACTCATTTCAGTATATTTTATATTCTTTATTCCATTAATGTGTCTGTAATTTTCCATTACCAATATGTTTTGATTATGGTAGTTTTGTAATACATTTAATTATGTTTTCTGTATTGACCTTTCTTACCTTTCCCATTAATCTTCTGTGGAATTTCCTGACCATCTTGACATGGTGTGTGTTTTTACAGGTAATGTTTAAAATTAGATTATCTAATTTCAAAAATACCTGTTTCTATTTCTATTTAGAGTAATTTTGGGAGAATTTACACTTTTATCATGTTGAGTCATACCTTGCCTAAAAATAGGATATGTGTTTCCATGTATCCAATATATCCAAATAGCTATTTAAATTTTCTTTGAAATAGATTCTGAGACATCTCTAAGCATTATAAGGCTTGGAACAAAGTAAGCTGCTAGGTTACTTGCTATTTTTCTGACTGTATTTATTCTTTTTATTTCACCCTCTTAATTGGAATGGGGGAAACAACTATAGTTATAGCTGTTCAAGTTCTTTCACCTAAGCTGGCTCATTCTCTACATATACTTTCTTTACACACTATTGCTTAAATAGAAACTACCTCTAAGAGCATCATAAGGTTCTAATAGGGGTATTCTTATTTTAATCCTTCTTTTCCTCTGCTAGTAGCCTTGCTAAACAATTCTGTGATTGCTCCAAAGAGGCATCCTGGCTATCTTTAGAGAAACTGTAATTACCAACTATAATCATACATATTTCTGGAAAATTCTTTAAAAGCTCTGGCAATTCTCCTCCTCTTAATCTAGTGCAATCTAAAGTTATGCTTCTTTGTCTGATTTGCAAATGGATTAAGAAATAAATGAATAAGGTGGCCCTTGATATGAGGGGCTTGGGGGCAGTCTAAGCGTGTGGCGTTATGCAAGAGAGGTTACATAATATGACAGCAGCCCCAGGGAAAATCTGTAGAGAAAGAGTCTACTTCCTAGGTCATTTGTTTTCCTGGGAAAATTCAGAGTTGGTCTTAAGGCAGACATAATTACTTTTACTTTAATCATGGGATCAGGGTAGGGAATAAAAAGTAATATTTTCCAAATGGGGGAAGAAAACAGAAAATAAAAGTATAGTCCTTCTGTTCATGAGAGTCCTCTATTGAGGAAGAGGTAATTTAGTTCAGGCTCATAAGCTAAGACTAGCTATTATTTCAGAAAGGAAGGGAGAGGGAGAAAGAGATGGGAACACCAATGATGAGAGAGAATCATTGATTGGCTGCCTCCTGCACGCTCCACACTGGGGATTGAGCCTGCAGCCTGGGCATGTGCCCTGACCAGGAATGGAACCGTGACCTCCTGGTTCATGAGTTGATGCTGAACCACTGAGCCAACTGGCTGGGTGAAGCTAAGGCTTTTTTTACTGGGTAAGCTAATTTAAGTAATAAGTAGTTTTATGTGCTAATGATGCAGTGCTTGCTGTCTCCTCAGTGTCTGGCTTGGCTCCTTGTTGCACTGTGTCCTTCACCTGCCCTTACTCTGCATTTGTCTTAGGGAGTGTTCAAGTACTGCGAACTGGGTGCATTTGTGGAAGACTACAACTTTCTGGACACAATGCTGATCTTTATGCTGTATGGTTGGGCTACTGTTCCTCTCATGTACCTGGGAAGCTACCTGTTTTCTAGTAGCACTGCTGCCTACATCAAACTCACCCTCTTTAACTACTTTTCAACTGTGTTCAGCATCATCGTTGATACCATAATGCACCTCCTTGGTAAGGACTTTCCACACTTTCCCTTTTCTCCAGGAAATATATTAAATAAATGAGGATGAAGGAGCTAGAGAACAAAATAATAATTGTTAAGCACTTACTTTCCAGGCATTTGAAAAACTATGCTTTTTGGAAAACAGCAAATATTTATTGAATATGTGAAAAATAGAAGTTGAAGGAGAGAGGGAGAGAAAGGAAATGGGGAAGAGAAAGGAAGAGAGAGAGGCACTAGGCCATCTGAAGGAGCTGGGCTTGGTATCACTCTAGTTTCATTAAAGAAAAAGAAGAGTAAAAAACTACAGTATAAGTGTGCAAACCACTTATCTCCTTTGAAATGTTCCCCCTCTCCCAGACTTAGTCCTTCAGTTCTAAAATCTTAGCAGCACTCACTTTGAAGCAAAGTAGGGAGATGGAAGGGTGGGAGGTTCTATGGGCTGACTTCTGCCTAATTTAATGCAGCACATCATCCTGACCCTTCAAATGAGATTTTTTCTGAAGAAAACAAGGAAATATGCAACAAATGTAGTTATCATTAAACCATTTTCCCTTCTTTTGAGTAGATTCTCCCTGTCTTCCTTCTCTGATTATAAAATTTGAAGAGAGTTTGACTGCTGGTGATTATCACAAATGGGATTTGTTTGGTTTTAGAACATTCCTTGGTTAAACTTCTGTTTAAACATGAACTTTGAACTGTGTTAATCATTTTAGCTCTGCCTGAAGTGGTAGAACTTTACCAAAAGAGCTTCCAGACTCATTCCCTAACTTTAGGTGTTGGCCTTACACAAAAGGAAACAGAGTGTGTGGACCAAGCACATTCTTTTGCAGTCTTCTCCAAGAAGTGGTATTATGCCTGGTGAGGAAGACTTGAGCCCCTGCATAATAAGCCAAGCAGGAGTTATGCATTCGTGCTCATTCCCTGAATCAGTGGTGGTATTGTCAATCACTTTTTTACTACCTATAGATTCTACCTGTGTTCTGTCCTATTACAGTTAATGTGCCACATATGATGTTTCGGTAAATGACAGACCACATATACAACAGTCGTACAGATTATAACAGAACTGAATTTCCTGTAAGAAATGGAAGGATATGTCGTTTAGGAAGAATTTTTTCTTTGATTACAGCAATATCTATGGGGCTTGACAATAGGTTCCCTCTCACTCACAGCTCCTCAGTTTTGAGTACACAACTTACATTCCAATCAGTCAACCACTGACCTGTTTCAGCACAGAGGAGCCTGTCCCCCCAATACTAATTTTCAAAAGATGCTACAACCCTCCCAGCTCTGGCTTGATGGTCTTCAGAGCACATTACTATAAATTCTTCGTTGAGGACATAAGATCTTGTACAAGAACCCAGACGCACAGGAACTGCCTCAACTAGTACAAAGTACCACTGACACTTCAGTAAAAGGTTTCTGTGGCAGTTTGGAGCCAGCCCATCCCTGTACTTTGAAATATTTTCAGGTTGTACTGATGTAAAGCATAGGTAAGTTTTATTTCTTTAATAAATTCAATGCCAGAGAGAGCCTGTTGTGCCAGATAGGGTCAATGGAACAAAAAAACAAATTTCCAATATCAAAATATTGACTCCTGAGTTCTATCCCTCTCCATTTTAAACACCATCTTTTTTGTGGACACCACAAAGTTCCTTAATCTGACCACTGCTCCAGCATGCAAGAGCCAAAACCATGGTGCCATGACACCCCCGAAGTCCTTCTCTCCACCTCGGTTTCATATTCGTACTGATCTCCAGGGCCCCTCAACTCCCTCCTGACTATTACTGTTATGGCGACCTGGTCCTCACCCAGCCAGTTTCTCCTCACTATTTCTAGTCAATTCACCCACAATCTATCTCTGAAATCTCCCTTCATGATAAGTGCCCTTCTCTTTAACTCTATAATTGATAAATCCATGTTACAAGCTATCAAGATGAATAAGCTTGGTGACTTAAATAATGAGTGTTTTCTCAGGGATCATCTGCGAGATTGGTAATTATCTGAGAATTGTTTAGTTATCTTGAGGAAGTTTATTATGGGAGGTTCATTTTTTATAATTAATCTATCCTCTTTTATTTAATTTTTAATTAAATTAATTGTGGTGACAGTGGTTAATAAGGTTACTATTAACCAAGTGTACATTTCTATGATACATGATCTGTATATTGCATTGTGTGCCCACAACCCAAAAATCACAGGCAATGAAATTTCTTACTTCACTAAAGTCTTCATAAGTAATGTGTTAGTGATGCTTCCCAGTTACAACTTTGCAATGAGTGTCAGGAAATTCATTGATGACTATGAAGTAAAAAGACTGTGTACCCAAGAAATTCAAAACGTCTATGTGGACTGCAGGAAAAAATGTGAGTATTGGGGCTCCCCATGTTGTTAACCACAACCTATTCCTGTCCAGACTTCCACATTTCACAGACTGGGGCGGGGGAGGGAGGGGTGAAGCCTCAAAATAAAATCCAAGATAAATTTCATGAAGTCACAACCAGATTTTGAATGAATTACTACTACTACTCACTCACCTACTATGTGAAAATAGCTTAACATTATTTTGAATATTCCCAGCACTCTTTGAGTTAGCTAATATTATCACAGTTTTATTCCCAATGAGGAAACTGAGCTCTTTACTTAAACTGGATATTAAATAAGTTCCCTGGGACACTAAGCTTTAAGTGTCACACAGATAAAAGAAAGGCAAATTCCCAGAAAGATCAAAATGAGGAAAAAACAAATGCATTCTATTAAATTTTCATATTTTAGGCTGATTTCATGTTTCAGACTGATTCTAAAAATTTATAAGCCTATTTACTGTGTGTGTATAATTTGTTGTAGAACCAAATAATTTATATGCAGTCACAGAAAGAGAAATGTAATTTTATTTTACTAAATCAGTGCAGGATAAAATATAATTATCAGGGTCAAATAAATTATATTTTCTTAAAATCTCTGAATAATAAAAATTATGTCATATTTTAGTTTGCATCATATTTGGATTATAAATTCCTCTCTCTGCTTTTTAAAAATAGCTCTATTGAGTTATTATTAACATACTGTAGTCACCAGGTTTAATTAACCTGTTGGATGGAAGTGGGGGAGGGCTTGTTGGACAGTGTTTATAAAGTCTATAGTAGCGGTCCACACTATTATTGAATTAAAAATTTAATTTATTTCATTTATTATTTTAATTCACTGTTCTGACCCTCAGCTTCCCCTGTGTTGTGTATGCCTTCGAATGTGTTCTTTATAGTGTTACTAGTATGTCATTGTTTATTTCTGACTGGTCTTTTTCCATAGTTACTATATCTTCTCTCATGCTGTTGGCATCCTTGCCATCATTATTCTGATCACTATATCTGATAAATTTATTATCTCCATTTCATTTAGTTTTTCTTTTGGAGAATTCTCTTATTCTTTCATTTAGGGCTTACTGTTGTTTCTTGTCTTCCCATTTTGATTGCCTGCTTGGGTTTGTGTCTATGTACTAGGTAACTCTGCTATGACTCCCAATCTCTAGTGCAGGACAATGTCAGATGCTGTGTGTAGCCGGCCCTGAGTACCCTCTTTGGAGCTATCAGCGACCCACAGCTAGCGGCTCCCTCTGCTGGGGCTGGGTGCCTTTGGAAAGGACCAGGATATGGATCAAGGTTAGCTTTTCCTAGCCCTAGGTCCTGACTTATATCAGGCAATGACTCAAAAGTCTCTGATCTGCCTCTGCCTGCAATCCGATTGTTATTCATTCTTGATTAGCCTTGGGCTATTGCCTACCGGCTGGGGAAAGATATTTTCCAACAGGTTGGAGCAACTTCTTCCCCCAAATGCAAAAGCTTCCTGGATGGTAAAGGTCTGCCCGAGAATGATGTCCTCTGGAGTATGAGGGGATGACTCAGCACTGGAAACCCGGGTGTCTGCCTTTGAGGTCTAACCCCAAATCTGGATTCTGCTCACACAGCTCCAGTCCACTCTGCCCTCCCTCTGCCAGAGCCCAAGGTATGTGGCTGCACAAGAAATTTTATTCATTGGCCCTTTAAGAGGGTGCCTGCATTTCCAGCCATCTCTCCCAGATGTTGTGTGGGCCTTCTCAGTTATGGTTCTCTAGACTGGGAGGCCCAGCTTTGGGGTTAGACCCCAGAGTTCTCAATGAGAAACCCTCCCTCCTAGATGAAATATCTCTCTGGAACTTCAGTTGCTGTCTATGGGAGCGTGGCCAGCCCTTTCATGCCTCCTCCCCTCCTACCAGTCCCTATGTGACTCTACTTTATGTCCTTGATTATTATGGTTCTCTCCAGTTAGTCTTCAGTTGATTATTCAGGATGGTTTTTCTGTATTTTAGCTGTAATTTCAGTTTAGTCCTGGGAATGTGTTAGTGTAGCTCCCACTTACTCTGCTGCTATTTTAAGGGTGTCTTTTGAAGCATAAAAGTTTAGAATGTTGAAGGGGTTCAAGATGGCTGCAGAGTAGATGGAAGTTACACTTACTTCCTCCCAGGACCATATCAGAAGAGTAGCTAAAGTATGGGAAAATCAACCAAATAACTATCTGAAGACTAGCTGAACAGAAGTGTTATAACTAAGGATTGAGAGTAACATCCAACAAAACCTGTAGAAAGGGAAGAGCCACAAAAAGGCTAGCCCTACACCAGGTGTGCTAGGAGAGAATCTCAGGTAATGAGATTCCCCCTGGAGAAGGGAGTGGCCTCGGCCCCAAGCTGGGCACCCTAGCCTGGAGAACTAGGAAATCAGCAGGAATTTAACTTGCCCTGGTAAGAAGGGAAATGGCTTTCTTAAAGGGCCAGTGCATAGAATCTCAGTCACATCACTCACTCTCGGCTCTAGCAGGGACAATAGTGGCTCTCAGTAGACCAGAGTCATAAAAAGAGAAATTGAATGGCATTGCTAAGGAAAGAGAACTGGCATGAGAGCAGCAGGTACCCTGTGCTGGGTTGGGTTCCTTGCCCATCTAACTCATAGATGTCATCTTCAATAAAAACATCTCAGACCAGAAAGAATGCTATGAAATATTCAAAGTGATGAAAAACAAGGCCTACACCCAAGAATACTCTACCCAGCAAAGCTACCATTTAAAATTGAAGGAGAAATAAAGAGCTTGCCAGAAAAGAAAAGGCTAAAGGGGTTTATTACCACCAAACCAGTAAGAAAAAGGAAAACAAAAGAAGAGAAACATAATTATAAAAATAAATTGGCAATAAATACATACAAATTAATAGTCACTTTAAATGTTAATGGATTAAATGCTCCAATCAAATGACACAGGGTACTTTTGGCCAGTGTGCCTCAATTGGTTGAACCATCATTCCATGAATTGAAGGGTGGGGGGGTTCAATTCTCATTCAGAGGATATACCCAGGTTATAGGTTCAATGCTCAGTTTAGGATGTGTATTGGAGGCAACCAAATGATGTTTCTCTCACACATCAATGGTTATCTTTCTCTCTTATTCTCCCTTCCTCTCTCTCTTTCTAAAATCAATTTTAAAAAACTTATACTTGATCAAAAAGCAACCATGTTTGTTACATTTGTTGCTTGGTGTTAAAAAAAAAAAACAAAGAAAGAAAGAAAGAAAGAAAGAAAGAAAGAAAGAAAGAAAGAAAGAAAGAAAGAAAACATATTCTTTTTTTTAATATATTTTATTGATCTTTTACAGAGAGGAAGGGAGAGGGATAGAGAGTTAGAAACATCGATGAGAGAGAAACATCGATCAGCTGCCTCCTGCACACCCCCTACTTGGGGATGTCCCTGCAACCAAGGTACATGCCCTTGACCGGAATCGAACCTGGGACCCCTCAGTCCCCAGGCCGACGCTCAATCCACTGAGCCAAACTGGTTAGGGCGAAAACGTATTCTTGAGTGAGGATTTTTTTAAAAGACACAGGATAACTGAACAGATAAGAAAACATGACCCATATATATTCTATCTACAAGTGACCCACCCAGGAACAAGAGATTCACACAGCCTTAACCGGTTTGGCTCTGTGGATAGAGCGTCAGCCTGTGAACTCAAGGGTCCCAGGTTCGATTCCTGTCAAGGGCATGTACCTTGGTTGCAGGCACATCCCCAGTAGGGAGTATGCAGGAGGCAACTGATTGATGTTTCTCTCTCATCGATGTTTCTAACTCTCTATCCCTCTCCCTTCCTCTCTGTAAAAAATCAATAAAATATATTTTTTTAAAAAAGATTCACACAAACTGAAAGTGGACAGATGGAAAAAATATTCCATGAAAATGAAAATTTAAAAAAACAATGCCGGGGAAGCAATACACATATCTGACAATACAGGCTTCAAAGCAAAGGCCATAATAAGAGACGAAAGCAGGCATACACAGGGAGAATGCCATGGAAAGATGAAGGCAGAGGTTGGAGTAATGCAGCAGAAGCCATAGTACTGGAAGTCCTAGCCAAAGATTGGCAGCAGCCACTGGAAGCTAGGGGAGAAGCCTGGAACAGATTCTTACTCACAAACTTCAGAAGGAACAATCCTGTCCACACCTTGAAGGACTTCTAGGCTCCAGAATTATGAGATAGTTTCTATTGTTAGACTTCCCAGTTTGTGGCATTTTGTTTGTGGCTGCCCTAGTAGACTAATAAAGCATACCAGGGAGGAAAAGGAGACAAAAACAGGCCATCACATAATACTGAAGGGAATTTTACCAAACATTCAAAGAAGAACTAACACCTATTTTCCTCAAACTATTCAAAAAAAATCCAAGAGGAGAGTACACTTCCAGGCCTTTTTGATGAAGCTAGCATTATCCTAATGCCAATGCCAGATAAAGACATTACAAAGAAAGAAAATTACAGGCCAGTATCCCTTATGGGAACATACTAGTACATGCTAAAATACTCAGCAAAATATTAGCAAATTAGAACCAGCAATACATTAAAAATATCATGCACTATGACCAACTGGAATTTATTATGGGAATGCAATAAATTGGTATGATATTCACAAATCATTAAATGTGCTACATCACATAAACAAAATGAAGAATAAAAATTACATGACCATATCAATAGATGAAGATAAGCATTCCACAAAATCCAGCACCCATTTATGATAAAAACTCTCAGCAAAGTGGGAATAGAGGGATCATAACTCAACATAACAAATGTCATATATTAAAAAACCTATAGCCAACATCATACTCAGTGGGCAGTTACTCAACATCGTACTGGGAGTCCTAGCCATAGCGGTCAGACAAGAAGAAATAAAAGGCATCCAAATTGAAAGGAGTAAGTAAACTGTTACTATTCACAGATGGCTGCTATTGTTCATAGAAAACCCTTAGGGTTCCACCAAAAAACTATCAGACCTAATTCAGCAAAGTAGCAGAATA